TAACAGAGTGTTTGACCCCACACACACACACACACACACACACACGTTGATTTTCCAGCAGCACATTTAGAGAAGGGCCTTTACACTCTTTGAAAGCCACAAGACTTGTTTTAGTTAAAACATTCTAGATTTAAACATTCTAGATTTAAACATTATAGATTATGTGTTCACATGTGACTAGAGTGATACAATCACGAACGTACGACACACACAAGTGATGTAAATACTGGTAATGTGAAGCAAACGCGCCCACGGGGATTACACCAGAAACACACACACTTCTTGCTTCACTGCAAACATTATTCTGTTCTGTTACACATCGAGACTCACACACACACACCAGATATGGGGACTCGAGTCGCACACACAGCTGACTTCAGACTTGACTTAAGACTCGACCCAAAAGACTCGAGCTTCGAGACTCGTCAACAACCTGCGTGCAATTATTGCCTTTTAAATCTTCATGAATGTATTTGTATTTTCTTTTGTTGGCGCTGGGGAAGTGTATGGCGAGCTGCACGCCGCGTCCCCTGCCGTTTGCCTTACTGTGTGACGTGTGCGCTACGCTCACATATAAGGATGGCGACACCAAGTGTGCCTTTAGTCTTTAGTTTTGGTTTTAATAACTTTACAAACAGTGGCGCAAGAATCCACAACGTCGCACTTCATCAAGCACCTCAAAACACACCCAGATAGGCCCGTCACCTGCGAATGTGAAGAGACGTTAAAGGGGTCATGGACTGGCTTTTTAAATTTTATTATATTGTTGTCGAAGTCAACTTATGACTTTCGCTTGGGTTTTTACATTAAAAAAACATCAAAATGAATAAGTAAGACGGCCATCTATGTTATTTATGTATGGGGTGGGGTTTATCCTCTTTGTGGGGGTGGGGTTTATCCTCTTCTGTGGGGTGGGGTTTATCCTCTTCTGTGGGGGTGGGGTTTATCCTCTCTGTGGGGGTGGGGTTTATCCTCTCTGTGGGGGTGGGGTTTATCCTCTTTATCGTCATAGTTCCCCACTTTGAAAAATGAGTCGTTTGCTGAGGCTGGTGTCAATAAAAGCTTTTATTGGACTAACAAGAAGGTTTTCAGTTCTGAAACTTACAGGATATTCCTATAATATGATGACGACCTCTTAGATGTCAAAAGGAAATTTTGATTTCTCAGTTCATCAACCCTTTAAAGTGAGCATATATATATATATATATCGTCAGGTACAGTAACAAGCTAACCATCACAAAGTGTTGTATCCATATAATGTGACAGACTTAATATTTCACCAGGTCCGAGTGCGAGGTGTGTGTGAGTGAGTGTGTGTGTGTGTGTGAGAGAGAGAGGGTATGTGTGTGTGTGTGTGTGTGTGTAAGGAGATGGAAGAGAAAGTTTCTGTGAGCAGCTGAGTTCAGGAATGTTCTTCAACAAGCCCTGACGCATCACATATCTTCCCTCCTCTGCACACACACACACACACACACACACACACACACACACACACAGCTGCAGAGATTCAGCATGAAAGTGCTTGTTCTGAAATACTTTCCCTCCAGCCAAAGACTCACAGTAACTTCTGGAACACGAACAGGAACAGGAAGTGATCTAACCTCTATCATCCCGCTTCCCATTGGTCAATACACTATCCCGCTTCCCATTGGTCAATATAGCTGATCCTCACTGAGATGTTGTGGAAGCTCAGAGGAAGTAATAGTTCACACATGATCTCCATCTGAACTCCACACACACTTTTTGATTCCTTCCTCTCGGCCAATCAGAGCTGGACTTCTGAATGTGTGTGTGTATGTGTGTGTGTGTCAGTGTGAGACAAACAGCTGATGATCCACAGGAGACACACGTAAGTGTAAGTGTGAAGGTGCTTTGATTCACTTAGATCTTAATCAAATATGCAAACACACATCTGTTCTGTTCAAACCTCCAAACACATTCTCCTGTTCTCGGTAAAACTGCTCAGGATCAATGGGCTTTATGCCCAGCTGCGCTACTTCCTGAACTTCAGCCAGCTTCTTGTTTCCAAATTTGTCCAATAATGGCAGACAGGAAACAAGGAGCTGGCTGAAGTTCAGGAAGTAGCGCAGCTGTGCATAAAGCCCATTAGGCTGGAGTCTGAATCAAGTCATCATGGTGCCGCCTAGTGGCCCTACACTGTACTGCACACACACGGTCCTGCATACACACACACACACACACACACACACTGTCCCCGGAAACACACTTACAAGCTCGATGTAGGACTGATCGTTCCCTCTCAGAAACACACACTCGTTTATTCAGGATTGTGTTCGCGTTTCTGCTTCATCATTAGATGAGCACTTCACTCACTTCAACATTAATCTTTATTGAAAGTGGATCACATATGTAGTCGAAATGTAAATACATTTTTGAATTTAGGGTTAAGGTTAGGGTTAGAATAACTGAAGGGCGGATTTGTATCCACCTTTTTCTGCTCTAAACAATGCGCGCTGCCATGACGACGACTCCGGTTGCC